ATTCTGGGAGTTGAAGTCCACTCATCTTAAAGTGGCCAAGTTTGGACAACACTGGTTTAACTTATTGACAATCAGGCACATTATCACAGTTTGGGGACAGAACTGAAGCATATCAACACATTGCTGCCCTGAAATTAAACAGGATTATGATGCGATGATACTTAAGTGAGTGCACCCTATTTACACAGCTACTGGGTTTTTAAGGAGAACAAAGCAAGCTTCATAGGTAGCACAATACTCTTGTTCTATTTAAAATATTTCTGTAGTATGGAAAATATTCATGAATCTTTCATTTATCCATCTGGCTTTAGAGCTACAGTATTAAAGAGTCTACATGTCTCTCTCACAAAGGACATTGTTGCAGTGCCCAGTCATGCTTTAACACTGGCAAGCCTAGTTTTTGGTCGCACTAGTAATAACTGGAAGGAGAGGAGGAAATCACAAGTGAGTTAAGCACCGCTACAATAGATATCTGAAACAATGCTAGATTAAATGAATGAGTAACCATAACGAAACCCAAGTAATTGTTATTTTACTTTAGACTGAATTAAGGGATAGCAACTGCAAAATGATTGCATTAAAAAAAGATGGATGAACATCTTACTGCTCACACAGACCCAGAAGGATAAAAGACAATGTCATGAGAATTGCAAAAACTTTTGTCAAAACTCCAAACCATTCTGCTATGGAACAAAGTTTGCAAACATGAAATGGATCATTACAAAATACTGCAAATATTGCATTTATTTAATAAAAGGTGGGAAAGCATTTCACATGACATTTAGTTTGTTTTGAGGCTCAGAATGTTTCAGCCATGCCACATGCCTATCTATACACATCAACCCTCTCAAACATCCCATCTGTCTGTCACTTTACAACCAATCCTATCTTACTTGTTGAATATGGAAAAGTCAAATTTCCAACCCAGGCAGCGAATGGCACGGTCATAAGGGGCACGAGTGGCAAAGTTGTCTAATTCGTCCTGTGGAAGAGTCACAGATTCTGGGTCACTGCTATTGCTGTTCTCCAAGTAGAACCGGAGGGTGATATGCAGCTTTCCTTTTCTATCTTTGATGAGAACTAGGTCTTCTAGATCACCTTCTATTAGTCCATCCAGAGACTTCAACTGATATGTGTCCAGGAGGCCATTGTTAATTGCTCTAAGGAAGGGGAAAAAAAACAACAGGTGGGATATAAACTTTACATGCCAATTTTAGAAAGATGATTGCCACTCACTGTGACAATTCAAGATTAAATACAGAAACATTCCGGCTACATATGAAGCAACTTCTTGTGTTACTATTGTGTTCAACATTAGTTTTAATATTTTAATGGAAAAGGGAAAACGTTACTTTTGTTTGATTTCAAATTATTATATATTCTTTTGTAAATATACTAGGAAGACGATTAACAAATATAACAAACAGAATGACTTGTGGAAGGCGACGAAAAAAAAAAAGTAAGGGAGCATTCTTTGTAAGAATGTAAGCCCTTCCCAAAAGAAAAGGAAAAGAAAAAACAATTGTTTGTTATAATCCAAACAATGACTTCCCTGGATGTCCTCACACTAAGTTGTGAATGGCCATAGCTTTCTATGGTGTAGGGGCTAAGGTATCAGACTAGATGTGGGGAGACTCAGGTTCTAGTCCTCCTTTAGGTGCAGAAGCCAGCTAGGTGACTTTGTTCCAATCACTCTTTCTCAGTCCTAAACCAGGAGGTTGAAAAACATAGTCTCCCAACCCACACTGGATCAGCATGGTAGATGTATGGTCCATTACATTAAAAGAAGAGAGCTTCATCCTGCAGTGCACTGGTCTGAGATGATGATGATCATCATCATCATCCCATGCCTCACTGAAATCAAGGATATCTCACTTATGTGTCTACACTTGCTCATACCATACCTCTTCCACAGATACAAATCTATCCCATGTCCTGTTCCTTGAAGACTAGAAGAAAGGCCCACTCTATGACAAACATCAGTGACCAAAATGCTTCTGCCTGGTCCTTCAAAGAGCTGTTGTCCTATTTACTCTAAGCAGGCTGAGGCAGGGACAGGAGTGAAAAGGGGGATGGGGCGTGGAACAATGGTACCAGGCAGGACTGAGTTATCAAACAAAATAGAAGTGTGCATGTGGACTGGCTGCTAGAAAAAAAGTGAGCCAAAAAGGGCTGTTTGGCTTATGGCAGTCTGAGCTATTAGTCCACTCAACACTCCTCCCAACTGTCTCAGGTAGGCCTGGCTGTTCTTCCTAAATAATATTACAGTGTGTTCAAACCAGGATAGAGAGGCCATTGTTGATCTCTACTGTTTACCTGACCAACCAAGAAGATGTGCCTTCCCAAAAACAAATTGCAGATTTTTTCAGAAAAAAATTGAGTGATGGGAAACTTTCATTATTCCAACATCTGTTGGGAGACAAATTCTGCAAAGCATAGTCCTTCCAGGAAATTCCTGACTTCTGTCATTAACAGCTTTTTTCTTCAGAGGGTTGAAGAAGGCACAAGAGAAGAATTAGTTACCCTTGATGTGATGCTAATCAAGAGGGACACTTAATCTAGAAAATGAAGTTGTTATTTGAAAGGAAAATAAAGCTGAGTATAACTGAAAGCATATCTTGGACTTCAAGAAAGTTTTGAATGAACTCAGAGTAATTATAAGTACGGTTCCATTGCTGGAGAAGTTAATAGGAAGAGGAGCCCAAAGTGGATAGAGTTCCTAAAAAAGGAGATATTACAAGCACAACTGGAAGCAATTCTAGCAAGGAAAAAGTGGAATATGGCAGAAGACAATGATATGGCTGCACAAAAAGCTTAGTAAAGATCCAGAAGCAAAAAGGAAATATATGGGAGATGGAATGAAGGACAGATCACTAAAGAATGGCAATTGTAGAACAGTCCAGAACTGCAGAAATTATATTTGAAAGGCTAGAGTTCAAAATGAACATAGGTTGGTAAAGGATCCTAAGAACTAAAGCATTTCTTCAGATACATTCAACTTCAATGGGAAAAAAAAGAATTGATATACCAGTGAAGAGAGCAAAATATTAACAGATAACAAAGAAAAAGCAAAACAATTTTATTCCTAATTTGGCTTCTCTAACAAGAGGGTATGTGTTGCACCAGGCAATTATAAGAAGCAGAAAAAAGGAGCAGGATTAAAACCAATCAAAACATGATCAGGGAATCCTTTTTCCTCTTAATGAGTTTAAATATCCAGGGCCAGATGAACTGCATCCTAGGGTACTGAAGTAACTTGCTGATGGTTTGGCTGAGTACTTACATATTATCTCTGAGAAAACCTGGAGAACTTGTAATGACTGGAAGGTGATCTATAGACCAGTCAGACTGACATCAATACTTGGGGAAATTCTGGATCAGATTATAAAGCAATTGTTCTGTAAGTACTTTAAAAATGCTATTTGCCAAGAATAAGTCTTGCCAGATTAAACTTATTTTGTGATCAATTAATTTTCTTAATAAGCTAGAGAAACAGTCTAGACATATCTTGATTTAGCAATATATCTGACAGAATACCCCAAGACATTCCAATTAGCAACCTAATTAAATGGGAGGTGCATCGCATGACCATTAAATGAATACACAGCTATTTCAAAATTCATATTCAAAGTGTGTTGATCAACAATTCTGTTACACTGGAGGAAGTATAAAGTGAGGGGCAACAAGATTCAGTCTTGGGTCCTGAACTCTTCAACATTTTCATTTGGAATTTGGATGAATACAAAAAAAAAAAAAAATCATCTCTGAATCTATGTAACAGGTCATATGAATATGAACTCTTACCTCAGATCTCCAACGTAGTGAGTAGCCCAAGAAAGACGAACTCGAGAGCGGCCTACCATGTGTACAAAATTGGTGACACCCAAAATGTTCTCTGCTGTTTCAAACGCAGAATTTCCCCGACCCAAGATCAATACAGACTGACCAACAAAATCTTTTGGGTCAATGGACACAGATTCATAACCTTCAACATATTCTGAACCTGGAAAGTTCACCTGGTGAGGAACCCACATACCTGTGGCCACCAAAAGAACACTAAAACAGAGAAAAAGGATTTGAGTTAGGGTCAGTCATATTATATGTCAAAATATCTTATTCCAGAGCTATTTACATGCTTTACAAAATCATCAAACATTTATCTAAAGTTTATCATACATGAACAATAAATTGTGTTCATGTATGATAAATTTTGCAAAAAACTATGGTGTATAGACTGAGAAATCCAAAAACTTCAAAATTAGCTTTCAAGTAGTTTAGAGTAGGGTAGGCATTTTTACTTATCAATTTAGTGGAAGAGAAAAAGCAAAAGATCACACTATAGCAATTACCAGAAACAGACTGAAAAGAGCATTTCAACATGCAGTGTATTTTAATAAAGTGAAAATCTGAGTTGAGACTATTAAAAGAGAGTTTGATTAGAAAATAGCTACTGTATTTTCATTCTGCTACTTCTAAAAATGTATGATGTGACTATACTGAAGGGTTTTTTGGTACAATGGCAAACAGGGCAAACAAAATCAGAAAGGGTACAGAAACAGGCAACAAAACTGATCCAGCAAGTTTGGAACACCTTTAATTAGTAGAAAAAGTATGTTTTCACTTACTGGTATAAGAAAAGGGAAAAATTTGCACAGAGGGATAATACAAGACTTTTCAAAATTATAAACTGTACAAAAAAGGAAATAATCTTTCTCAGTTATGTTATCTATTTAACAGATTTATATGCCTCCCAGTCTCACTAACTGTGTAAGTCTCACCATGTTAAAGTTGGTAATTGTTGATGATCAATCTATTTATGGGAGAGTGGCAAAAAGTATCCTACTGAGGAACTCAATGAACAGGATGCACTGTACAGGAGCAGACAGACCTGTCATTTGAAGCTAATGCTTCATGTAATGCTTCACACACCACAGGAAGGACCTTGAATTATGTCCCGCAAGAAATCAGTCGCCAGTGCAGCTGTTTCAACACAGGGATAATGTGGAATCTCCTGGAAGTTGCTCACCATCCCCACTGCTGCATTTCAGACCAGCTGCACTTTCTGGAATGTCTTCAAGGCAATTCTATAAACAGCATACTAGAATAATGCAAGCAGCTCCCATCGTACTGATGGCAGGTCTGTCATCTCCAGCAACATGTCCATATTCCGAATGTATGTGTGAGAGGAAAGTTCTGTTTTATCTGTGAGTGAAAGGGGATGGAACGGGGTGTGTGTGTGCAGGTACCCAGCTACATCTTGAGAGGGGTTTCTTTGAAATATGCACTGGTACCTAAATTATCTTCATCCCCAAAAGATGGCTTATGTGCACACAATACCAATAACCAAGAAAAACTGCATTTTTACTTTGGGAGCATCCATGAAATATGATGACATTTTTCTACGGACAGATGAAGTTATTCACCACTTACCTGCATTTGTAATTCTGAGCATTTTGGTCAGTAAGGATGAAGTAATGACCATTCCAAGCCTTGGAGTCTTTTTCCAGCATCACAAGTACAATGGATGTGTTATAGTGCACCTGGAGGTCTAGTATGGAAGTAAAATCAGCCAGATAGCGCACCATAGCATCAGCATCAGGGAAGAAATCCTGAGAGTAGTGCCGAAAAAGCAGTTGGCTATTGTGGCTAAGTAATGAGTTCCAGTCATGGCGAAGGTTGAATTCGCTATTGAATTTGCCAGTGTAACGTTTATTGATGCTGATCAATTTTCGATGACGGGGATACAAGGTGAAAAAGCGCCCTGGTGTAGTTCCACGCTCAAAGACAACGTAGTCCCGACCTGCATGCTGAAGGAAATAGGCCATCTGCAAGCCTGAAGGCCCAGCCCCAATAATACAATAGTCATGATAGAGAAAGCCATTAGACCAGGAAGAGGCTATGGACAAGGCAAAAATTAGCAAAAGTTCTTGCACATACTGCAGAAACGATAGCACCATATTGCTGGTAAGGTGGCTAAGTTTGTTCAAGGCACTTTTGAGAACTGACAAGAAAAAGAAAAAAATTCACTGAAATTTTTCAAGCTTGCTTTAATTGCATTGGACAACACAGATCACACATTCTATGCTTTGATGTGGTTCACACATCGCATTAGGTCATGGTTTACTTAACTACTGGTTGGAGAATATTTATTCAGTGTATTTACTGCTTTTCTACTCTGGAATCTTGTGTAACAGTAAGTGATACATCATGGCTGCCAAATCACAAGGATCTGTTTAGCAAGTTGTGCAAACCCGAAGTCAAACAAGCCACATTATGGCTTAGCACAATGTAGGAATCCAGACAGTGTCTTTTTTCCCCCTGTCTCTGAGGTTTAACCACAACAAGGTCTTGCTCAATTCCATTCCAGAAAACAGGAAGGGGAAAAGGATAACTAAGCACCTCTTTTGAAAACTGTATCATCTCGAAAACCATTGCCTAACCAGAATACAAGACAAAACCTGATTGCTCTGGGCCAATGTGGCAAGCACAAATATTTGGCCTATGCAGCCATTCCTTAGGTTCCTGTTAGCACACCTCCCAAACAAGATTGCTGGGAGGATAAACTTGCAGAGAAATACTATGTATGCCAGCTTGACCTCCTAACATAGAAACAAAGAATTCAGACAAAAATAGTCTCCCGATGGCTCTTTTCTCTTTATCTTGGTATTTTTTCAATTTTAGTTTTTTAGTTTATAGAAATTATTCAAGCACCTAACCTTATAGAAATCTTAGGAGGCTTTCATAACTGACCATCAATTAAGCCATGTAAAAACCCTTTGTGACAGAAATCAGCAGGCCAAAAAAAATTACTACAAACGGTCCAAGTTGCTCATATAAAGTCATATCACTGACTTGAACAACCTTTTGCCTACTGCAAACTCTAGCAGCTCTCCAAAAGTCTTTGACAAAAACCACTATTCAGTGACAGCATTTTGGGGAGACAGAATGGGTAGAATAGTATCCGCCACCCCTGAACCTTGTGGGAAAAGAGGATTTTACTACCATTCAGGGATGAGGGAGGGTGAGAAAAGGACACAGGAGCTACTGAAGAGGCTGCCAGGGCTCCCTGAAGTCTGGATCCAGTTTTGATTTCATCAGATCAAAACATTACTGAACCTCATGTTATTTCTATATATGCATTTACAAATGCTAATGCATGACTAGAAAAAACTTTGTCAATACAGTAGTACCTCGGATCACGAACACTTCTGTTCACAAACAATTCGGGTCATGAACAGCACCGTTCGCAAAATTTTGCTTCCGTTCGCGAACTCCGCATCGGGTGACGAACAGGATCCGCGGCCATTTTCCCTGCTGACCCACATGGTCGTGGCTTCCTGTAGAGAGGGCGACTCTCCCTCCAAAT